TAACATGCAAATTTTCTGTGGAAATTAATACATATATATTTGCATGTTATGCAAATCTACATAAATCTGCCGCATGTATATATATTGATAGAAAGCAGCAGATTTAATCTATTGCTAGAAACTGAAGCGGTGCGATGGAGTCGAGAAGCTGCTGCTGCTGCTGCTCGGGATGCATGTGCGTGGTCATAAACAACAGAAAGGTGCCCTTCTCGAATCGTTTTGAAGTGTTCTGCACCTAATGCACATCGGTACACTGGTCAATTTGAATGCCAAAACATGGTTGTTCAGTCGGTCGTTCGTTTCCTCGTGCTGAGACGCTTTATCTTTCTGCGTTAATCTTTACCGGCGCTTCGATCTGAACTCAACTGCTAAGCGTTTAAAATTACTTGTTAAGATTTAAATAATGAGGCTGAAAGTTCGTTGTAAAATCATCCGTTAGTTTTGGGAAGCAGAAGTTCTGGATGGCCTTTGGATCTGAAAATGGAATTTGGCACAGGGAAATTTCATGTTAGTTTCCGCAGTCGGCACTTACTGAGATAACCGAGATTATCTGGGGAATCGATGTGTTCGTGTAATGCCGACAATATTACTGGAATGCTTCTGTATGCTGAACGCAAATACACCAAACCCGTTAGACTTGAGCTGTAAATCTGGAGTGGAAGTATGTGTTTCAAAAATTTCGGTTTGTTTCTTAGAGGAGCGAATGTTGACCAAGCTGTCATCTGTACTAAGACAGAAAATGAAGAAAATTCAGCCGCAACTTTGAATCCAGTAATTTCGATTAATTCTTGAAGCCTAAAATTATTTTGAATACGATCCAAAAAAATTATTCTCTTCATTTTTTCTGTAATATTAATATTACCATCCTCGAGAAATAAAATAAAGTAACGTTAACGAAAAATATCAATGGTGTATGAGGCATTGTATTAGTAGCGATATGAATAAAAAAATACAGTCAACCTCAAATGTAAAGAACAGAGATGCTAGTTAAAGTGATAAACAAGGCGGAAAAGAATAAAATGGAGATGAACAGCTGAAAAAGAAAAGGAAGTTTGAAAAGAACAGAGCCAAGATAAATAAATAGCTGTTCAATAAGTTGGACTTATCATACGTAGGTGTTTTATTGGAAGTCTACCTTAGAAACTGAGAGCTGACAAGAATTTTTTTTATTTACTTTGGTTTCTTCTGGATAGTCCTGCATCGGAAAAAATTCCTTACAAACAGGTCGATGGCTCGCCAACTGCCGGCGACGAAAAACGGACTTTGAAGTTTGAAGGAAGAAGATTCGTGGCGGATGAGCGACGGATGGCTGTTACATCCGGTTTTCTTAGACGAACATTTGCTGAAGGTGTTCAGATTATTAATTGAGACAGTTTTCAGGAAATAAACGTGGGAGGGGCTGCGGCCTGATAGCAAACCCAAACCCAGAAGCACAGAGTTCAGTGGAAGGGGGAGGGTAAAATGGCATCAGAATGTGCCGACACAAAATGCTGCCTACAGCGAAAACTTTGATGAACACAAATTCGGTTCCATGAATAGCCAGATTTACCATCAGAAAACGCTACCGCGTTCAAACAAATGGAGGCAGCTTGCTCGCAAGAAATTGTCATTTCGTCGATACTGTGATGAGGACGAGCCTAATTATTGGGCGCCTTTTTATCATATTTTGAGCACTTCACTGGTATTTACGATGTGCATTTAATGAGAGCATTTGCGAACATTGAGCATGAAGTGAGAATGAAGGTAGTAAGATCTGGAAGGCAAATTAACCAAGACACCCAGGTGCCAGTTCGAGCGTGCAACATCTAATCACAGCTTCTTTGTCACCACAAAGTGGGATTTGAATCAGACTGCAGTCGCCTTCCAAGTTCTTCATCCGATGACGGAGGCATTAAAAGCAGCTTACTGATACTCCGAGGCACTAAAAGCAGTTGTAGATTTTACGAAAGCAGCTGCTAATCAGCGGCAAAATTGTGTCTGGTTTTCTCCTGACCGAAGTACCAGGACTGCTGCTGCGCCCCATTTTGGCTCTCCTCGAAGATTTCTTAATATATTAAATTGGCATTCTAACTTCACAGTCATTGCTTCTGAAATTTCTTCAGTGAAGCAATCGACTGTGGTACTGGATACGCTGAAAAGTATTCAGCCGTGCTTCGATGGTGTTGGATTAGCAAGTGCGATTGCGTATGCGAACAGTTGTGCTAAAATCCCTCTGTGCCAAGTAAGCATGAGAGCAGTTTCGAATGAGAGACACGCGTGGTAGCGCTGCTGAACCATTGTTTTCACAGCTTTAAAATATGTCTGATCCAGCACCCGAGTGCCAAACTTGCTCTCGCTCACTAAAACTGAAATCGCTGAGATGCTCTCTAATTACTACTCTCGGACTTTTGTCACTGATAATCCCGCCGCACTTCTAGCTTCTCCTCGCTTTTAAAAATTCCTGGGTGGACATGTCGGTGACATGGGCACCACTGCTTATCCCAACAGCAGCTTTTTTATTGTCGCAAGCAGCGATTAGTTTTCTTCTTGTATTACAAGGTCAACACAAGCCACCTTACCAGGCCATCATTGACCTTGTGCTGACCAAACGGTAGTCAGTAGACCTTTCCAACTTCCCTGGGGTCATCACGGTCTTGTTAAAACTAATCGGGGAGGAGGGGGGAGGGGCCGCTGACCCGAGAGAGGGACTGGCATTGCTGCTGATAATTATCTGAATGGGGAAGAAGCCCAGTAACTGATGTTTGTTGTTGTCTTAAACGGTTTGTGATGAGCGACTAGCTCAGTTTCGTTTCCTCTGTGAAATAAAAATTTGTTTGTCGGTCTCTTCTCGGCTTTCCTTGGTTCCCAATTAATTCCCCGGTGCCACGCACTCATGCGTTCAAGAGGAACGGCAAAATAAGTGGGATTGGGAGGTGAACTAAACGAGGTTTGGACTTTTTCACAGAAAGCCTGTTTACATAAAGCCATCTGACAATTCTAAACTTGGAATTCGACTATCCTCATGCATAGTTTTCTATAAAAAAGCAAGTATATGTATGTGCTTGGACATGCCCCTACCAAGTTACCACCGAGAAGACTCATCCGTCAGAACAGGGGCGGGCTTTTCAATCAGTTAACTTGAACTCAGATACAAAGTTCCGGATAAAAGCGACTCCAGCAGCAAATTTTGTGAATGATCAGTCGATGGGGCGCAAAAGTTTTTTGGCTAGAATGCCCCGGAAGCAACTCATTTGACTGTTAGAGCTGCTACGCCGTCAAAGTGTGAAGTTGTCTGAATAAATTCGATCTGTGCATCCTGGGCAGCTGCATGCTTGCTGCATTCCTCCCAAAAGCTCCAAATTTTATAGCTTTTATCTCGACAAAACAATTTTTTCTGTTCTGCACTGCAGATAGCCAGTGCGCTAGCCGCAGCAAATGCACTGGAGATGTGGGATATGTGTGCTGCAATCGTGGAAGAACTTCGCCTTCTCGCCACACAGCCCAAAAACGCGCCGTTTGTGATCGAGCTAGCAGTGCGCAGTCTAGAACAAGGTGCTGCCAAGCAAGTTATCAAGGTACCAAAGAAGTGTCACGCGCCCCAATCCCAATGCTACGCTTTTTTAATTTCAAAGCACTGACTCTGTATTAAATTAGACAGGAACTTGGAAATTTACAGCAAACACTGCCATATTTCGATGAAGTGATTGAGCAGCCGAACTTCCCATCGATGAGTCTGGCATGCCTCGAGAAATACATCGCTCTGTTTCTTGATGAGGTACAGTATTTTTGCTTCACAATTTTTAAAATACAGCCTTGCGCGTCATCAAAAGTGCCAAAATAGCAGCTAGGTGGCGCTCAATGAAACTTGCTGTGGCGCTCTGCTAACGGCGATTACCTTTATGCTAGAAAATCCTCTCTTGCTCAAAGCCAGCTTCAGACGAAACTAACTCCTCTAGTTTCCGCCTTCAAGCTTCGAAGAGACTGTCAGGCAAAAGTTGCTTACTAACGCAGTCCTCAGAACTGAAAGCCTTTGCCTAGGATTTCATGAATTCAGAAATGAAAAGGCGACATTAACGTGTGTAAGCAATTTACAGTGACTGGAATAACAGTCACTGCAAAGCGCATTTGTGAAGTGATGCGGAATTTATCGACAAACTCAGCTAGCAACCGGCCGCATGAATTTTCAGCATTCGGCTCAGCTCGAGGAAGCTGCGACGGCGGAATGTGTGAGTCAAGCGCTGATTGCTTGGTGCCGAACTGGTAGAGAAGCGTACGAGGTGAGAGCTCATACCAAAACTGCAACCGGGGCGAGCGGGAAGAAGTGACTGAGGCCTCTTCTTTGGTATCCAAAAGTTAACAAAATTTTCGGAGTAGACGTAGAATGAACACGCATTGGCAAAGCAGCGCCTGGCAGCACGCTGCGTTTGAATAACAGTGAGAGAGACTCGCGCTGGAAGCCCAAATGATTCTTCCAGTTTTACGTGGAAGTAAAAGTGAAGTGTTTTGAAAATGCTATGATTCATAGCTTGCCTCGCAATTTCTGCTAAACTTTACTGGCCGATCGGTAACGTTGAATTTGCCAAGCCGAAGGTGTCTGTTATGTCCCAAAGCTTAATAAAAGGGAAGGCGCCCATTAGGAATAATCAATCAGTAAATTAAAAATGACCGCGGCAGATTACGCGACGAAACGGCTTTATCACAGTTACTTTTTTCACATCTTCATCCAGATGGATGACCGCCAAGCCTCATTTACCTTGTGGAAAAAGTGCGCAGGTCTTTAAATGAGCCTAAGATGACTTGCAGCTCCAGCTGCTCTCTGATCACTTCCACGTATTCAAACTGAATTGCTCCGGTAGGTCGAAAAAGCGATCGATAAAATGCGACCATTCTGTGGACCATTTATCAGCCGCGTGAAAGAATCAGTTGACCGTTACACGGTTTTCATCAATTCGGCAAAATCAGTCAGGTATATGCGAGGCAGATCTAATGTACTTCGCTATTTCTTAGCGCGTGCTAAAAAGTATAGAAGACTGCGCAAGTTGCATCTAAAAAAGATTAACCGGGATAGCAGCAATAAAGCAACAGCCGGAAAATAGTGCCGAAAGCAATAGCACCGTTCAAACAATCAGTGTTGCTCGGACGAACATGATAGATTAGCGTCCTCGGTATACATTTAATATATCGCAAATCCCAGCTCATTTGATGGCTTTAACATTCTAAGGACGCAACTTTCATTACTGCTGACAAAATACTGCCAAGCTAAAACTCGGTTCGAGTTGGCTGCAATACACAGTCGTTTGTGGACCGGTAAGACAATGAACAACAGAAAATGTGCATTTTACGGTTTTCATTTCCGTGGGGTGTTGAAAAAAA